CCACCGCCGGGACTCACGATGATCTTGAGGAAGTAGTTGGACTTCCACGTGGCTCGGTCTTCCCTGGGCATCGCGGTGACCCAAGGATCGCACGGCGGGGGCGGCGGTTTAAAGACAGCGGCGTTCCCTGGAAGGGGGAGAGAAGGGAGATCAGGCCCAACCGAGGTAGGCCGCGAGCCCGCCTGCCCGCGCACGCGCCAGCCCGCAGCGCCGACCTACCTCACGAGGCCTCCGTGGAACCAAAGGAGGGGCGCTGCCACCGCCGCTCGCTTTTATACCCGGGAGGCCACGACCAATCAGCGGGCAGCTTCCGCTGGGCCCCGCCTTTTGTAGGGTGAGCGAGCCATGGAGGGAAGAGGAAGAGCGGGGAAGGCCCGCCCCTCGGGTCTGATGGGCTGGTTGAGGCAGTCACTCAAAGAAAGCGTTCGGTGATTTAAATACAGCTGATCCAGCTGGTTTGCAGCTTCCGGTAAATCTGGGGTTGTCGGAAAGGCTCCTCCCGGATTTTCTCGCCCCCGTGGATGGACGGAGGTGTCCTCCTAAAATGTCTTCAGGAAGAAGCACCAGGTCAAGCTAGATGAAGACAGGCTAAGCCGGTGTTTCTCGGCGACTTTAAGATACTGTATGTGGACTTCAACTCCCAGAATTCCTCAGCCACAGTTCTGGGAGTTGAAGTCCACATATCTTAAAGATGCCAAGGTTGAGAAACACTGACTTAAGCTATGGATGATGTAGTTCGGTGCTCCTCAACCTTGGCATCTTTAAGATGTGTGCACTTCAATTCCCAGAATTCCCCAGCCAGAATAACCGATGTTTGAAATGTAAATCTGATGTAGAATTCAATTCTAATTGGAAAACATTCCTGGATTTGTACCACACCCCAAATTTGGGTTTTTCTATGTAGAGTCTGTATTTCAGTTTCATAAAACATGAGATTTCTAGTAGTTTTGATTTGTTATAGGTTATAATTTTAGTTATAAATGTATGTTGTGTTAACCTATGGATGTATGATGTATTAACTGGATAAGTTTAGTTGAAAGCTAATCACTTTCGTTTTTCCTTTAAAATGTGATATAAAACGTTCCATATTTTCATAGGCAATTAATGGCATATTGAAAATCTGTAATCTCCATGACATTTGAGGTGGCATACATGGTTCCTAAATTATCATCTTACTATTTGTACCTGACCTTTTTATTTTCCTTACATGGTTTTTATCTCTGTCTACAGTATACTCTTTAAAATGTTTCATTAAAATTAAAAAAGAAAATTGTACCCACTTAGGCCTGTCTCTTTTCCTGGTATTTTACTAAATTATTTCCAATATAATGAATTACCAAAATGAAGGAAGTCCATGTTCTTAAAAAAAAGAAAATATATTCCTCTGAACTCTGGAAAAAGATAAAAATATTTGTAAAATAGCAGTGGGATGTGAGGTAATGAACAATGGGAATTTCAGACAGTTTTAATGCTAATTGGAAGCCCCTTTTGGACTTTTTGCAGAAAACAGAAAAAAATGACATTATTATGATATATGGACCTGAAGATTAGTAAAATTAATAGATTATAGAAAAATGGATGTTAAGGTGAAATCTTAGAGTAAGAGTTTAATGTATGTTTTACTTATATCTGCTGAAAAAAAATGGAAAGTCATTCTTTTTATTTGTTTTTCTCTCTTTACTTTTGCCTTCTTTCTCTTCATTCTTTTCTTCTATTCTCTTTCTTGATTATTAGTGTTTGTTAGTTTTTATCTATTTTTTAAAATTTAATGAAGTTATTATTTTTAAAAAAAGAGAAAATCTAAATGTGACACAACACTCAGGCACGGAGAAACAAATCAGGCTCCCCAAAGCCAAAAGTAATATATTTAGGGAGCCACAAACTTTGTATTTCCTTCCTTGCACACTGGACCATTTCTAGACAGATTCACTTCGTGCTTCTTTGCCAAAAGTTTCTGCAGTCTTCCACAAGGCGCATCAGCGAAGCATCAGGTTGGGAGGGAAAGATTTAGCATTATACTAACCTCTGGTTAAAGGCAAGGATATCCTGGTTGAACATGCTGCTAAAATGGGAAGTGGGAAGTGAGGGTTTTCTAGATTTTGCTGACCTGCCAATCCTGCTCCAGCCAATTGCCAGCATGGCCCGTGGAGAGGGATGCTGGGAGCTGCATTTCAACATCTGGCCCCCAACCCCTGTATTCTGTCCTCAGTCCCACACACATGCACACAAGCACCCTCTAAGCCATGAACGACACAGAAACCTGTCTCAAATTTTTTATTAGCATCATCACAGGAACTTTAAGAAAGGGGAAGGGGCAACATATTTAAAAATGAATATGGAAAACGGAGAGGGGGAGAGAAATATAATTCCACAGGAAAACTCCCCTTCTCCTCCTGAGCAGAACAGCTGAAGCTTTAACCAAGACCCACTTCATTTTGAGGCACTTAAAAGAGGTTTTTTTTTTAAAAAAAAAGGGTATGAAGCACAGAAAAAACTGCCTATCATGCCAAAGCTACAGGATATTCCCTCCCCAAAAGAAGAAGAAAAAAGGCACATTTTCGTCCTAACCGAGAGCCTACCAAACCATTCGATTGGCTTTCCCATGTGGAAAGCGAGATAAAACACGCCAGATTGCAAAAAGAGCCTTCTCCCCAAATCCAGGGTTTGAAAAACCTTTAAAATGCTCAGAGAGCTCCATGCGTCAATGCAGCCAGGAAGGCCCTGCTGTCAGCATCTGGTTAAAAGACCTGACCCACATGGACCCACCCTGACCCACATGGACCCACGCAGAACATTTCTCCATGGAGTAATGGATTTCCACACAAGGCAGGAAGTTGGAGACATCATCTCCAAGGTCCCTTCTCAGTTTTCCATTCTATGATCCTAAAAGAAGACCCCAAGGGGTCCAAATTTATGGCCCTCTCGAGCTGCCTCCATCAGCCTGGGACCCACAGCCAAAGGTGTATTTCTGCCATTATTCCCATCTGAATGGCTGCCCGATTCCCCGTCGACAGAGAGACACCTGACATCGGCATGGCCAAATGCAACGTACGGCCACAGTATCTCCCGCTACAGAGATGAATTAGAGCACGCGTGGCCAAAAGAAAAAGAACAAAGTCTAGCCCTCAGAGGCTAAAATATATGTTGCAAAAAAACACCCCAAAAGTAACATCGGAAACAGGCTATAAAACTTAGAACCAAATGGGTTTTCACTTGTGCTTTTCTATCTGCCAAAGGAAGTTAAGGCTCTTAACTTTGCGAAAGAAAGTTGAATGACTTCCCAACACAATGGTTTGTAAGTTTACAAAATCCATTCCAGTTGAGTTCTGATCAATAGAAAATGACTTAATAAGCAAAAAAGAAAATACACAAACACACTCCTCGGAGAGTCCACCTCTCTGACCCCCAGATTAAAAAAGACTTTTTTATATATATATAATTAATAGTTGGTTTTAACAAAGCATCAAAGCTCATGGAGACAGGAACCAACGCAGCTAGGGCCCTGCCCAGAGCAATCAGATACTAAAAGCATCTGTCAAAAATGTTCATAAAACTAAAATTTCCATACAAGAGTTTTAAAAGCTTTTTTGTTATGCATTCAAGACCCAGTGTAAAAAAACCCAGCATTCCTCACCCAAACACACAGTATTCAGTTTGATAGCAAAAAGACCGTTTCTCTCACAATCAAAACACCGTGGAGAGAAAAAGGGCCTGAGCAGAACACCAAGGGGTTTATGAAATTGCTAAGTCAATATAAAAAGTCATTATTGCTCAGGTCATCTCTCTGGAGCATCTTTCACAGGCATGAGAAACGGGCTGGAGAAGAAGGAGAATCAAGAGGCAAAAAAGTCAAGGTTGGTGTGGTTTTACCTCTCAGGTGCAACCACAAAATAGGTTGGACCCTTGCCTATATGAGTTTTGCTCCAGAGGGACTGGGACACCTCACACCATCTGGAAATTTGCAATAGCGGATTTTTTCCCAACCCATGGAGAACCCCAGCATTCCAAGGAATTTTCAGACAGGGTCCGCCAGCAATTGTTGGAAAATCTCAGAAAAGAAAGATAAAGAGAAGGTCAATCTTATGCAACAGTGAGGTTTTATGGGGACCTGCTAGCATTTTGACCACCATTCTGTGAACCACTGAAGGAGAACGTAATGACTGTAGAAATCTTGTACAACCAATGTCCTCCAAACATGGCATCCACAAGATTTCACCCTCTTTATGTTCTTTGGGAGAATCCTCATTCCGTATCACCAAACTGAAATCACCTAACAACTCCCTTCATGGCTCAGATGTCATTAAGGTACAAAAAAGGTAATCTTCCCATTCAAATATCACTTCTGACTCAACATCTTCCAACTTGGCATCTTCCCAATGTCTTGGAACCAGAGCTCCCAGAATTCCCAAGCAATTCTGGGTCAGAATTCTGGGAGGTGTGGTTCTCCTATTAATTGAGGGGGGGCAGGTTGGAGAAGGTCCAACCTCAATGCTCTTTCTCTGGATTTTCCACCTTCACAGAGCAACTGTGAGCATCTCATTCACATCTACACACACGCTAATCCTTTTCCTCCTCATCTCCTACATCAACCCATTCATGCCTCAAGTTACTGAACTCGGAGGATATACAACAAGGCAGGGTTTCCTGGCAGGAGATATCACCGATGGTCAACTGAGCCTTAACAGAAGAGTTTCAGGAAACAGTTCTGACAATAGGGCTTGTCATTCTGCTCTTTGAAGGTTCCTTTGTTGAGCTGTTTGAGACAGAAGGCACAGACGAAGTGTTCTGGGTGGAATTTCTTGGCCATCGCAGTGATGCAGCGCCCCGTGATGGGCTTCTGGCAGCCAGAGCAGAGCGAGCCACGGCGTTCGTGGTAGTGCACCTCACAGTAGGGTTGCCCGTCATGTTCGAAGAAGCTGCCATTAATGAATGGAGTAAAGCATTCCTGCCAAGGAAGGAAAACCATCAATATCAGGGACTAGCAGCAAGGCAGGAGCTCTGAACAAAGAACACTTAAAAGCAAATTGCTCTTGATTTTAAAAAAATAGGATTGCTGGTGAGTATGCTGGCTGTTTATTACATCGATTAGAAATCTTGTGGGGAATGGCAGGAAGCCCTCAGGACACATAAACGATAAAAATAATAGAACAATCAAAACAATAAGTACAGGTAGTCCTTGCTTAACAACCACAATAGAAACCAGAAAATTCATCATTAAGCAGGGCAGTCATTAAGTGAGTCGTGTCCAATGTTATGACCTTTTTGCAGCAGTTGTTAAGCAAATCACATGGTCATTAAGCGAATCATATGGTCATTAAATGAGTCATGTGGTCATTAAATGAATCACCCAGTTCCCCTTTGATTTTGCTTGCCAGAAGCCAACTGGGAAGATCGCAAATGGTGATCACATGACACCGGGACGCTGAGACAGTTGTACTGTAAGTGCAAGGATCGGCCGTAAATCCCTTCATTCAGTGCCGTCGTAACTTCAAACAGTCGCTAAACAAATGGTCGTTAAGCAAGGACTACCTGTGTTTTTATAAAAGACTGGAAACTTTTTATGGACTTTTTGCTGAAATTGGATAAAAATGAACAGGTGATTTCTGGGTTTGCTGCTTAAAAGGGGTTGAATATAGGAAGAAGGAAATTATAATGTAGTTCTAAATGGGGAGAAATGACAAAAATTACAAAAGATTGTTTGTAACTGCTGTAAAGAAGATCAGAAGCTGCTTCTTTAACTTTTTCTTTTTTCTCTTCCTCTTTTTGTTTCTTGCACTTTTTCTTTCATCTTTTTTTCCTTTTTCTAATTTTCTTTTATACATTTGTGTTTTAATTATGTAAAAACTTTCAATAAAAATTATTATAATAGAAATGGTAAAACAATAAGTTAAATGAATAGTAAAGGAAAGAATAGATGGGTTGCGTGTATCTGTATGCATATGGACATATATCTATTCCATTTTAAAGAACTACCCTGGTAGAGCACAACATGTTTATCTGTCTCTTCTTCTATCTGACCAGGACCTTGTCATATCTTTCCACTTTGCCTGATTTTGTGCCATCATTTGTTCTATCTGTCCAGAACACATCCTCTCCAGCAGCCAACACCCAGATAAGCAGGGATTAACACCAGATGAACAATCAAGCTGAAAACAATACCCTAATCAAGGAACAGCCAAGGAGAAAACCACACCCCCACTAACACTGGCAGGGGAAGCTACTGTATATGAACAGGGAGCCAACCCCACACTCCCTTGCACTGATGATGTTATCTAGTTGGGTTATGAAATGTCTGCAGCAAACAACTACGCTCAGAGAGCAGCAAGGACTCCACAGTTCAACGCTGAGCTACCGATCTTCTCTTCTATTGGAAGTTAAATTATTATAAGTAACCACAAAAATGCTTAGGAGGAGAAGAAGAATGCCTTAGCTGGTACCCAAAGGCCATCAGCATCCCTTGGGCAGGCCCTTCAAATGCAAGGTCTCTACAACCAAGAAAGCCAGAGACAGCCAGTGCAGTCCAGAAGGGAAGGAGTTGGACCAGGAGTTCTAGTCCCTGCTCAGCTTCAGAAGCTCTCCAGGGACTCTGGGCCAATTCCTCCCTCTCAGCCCAACAACCAGGATGATCTAGTGGGAAAAATGCTGGTCTAGGAGTTTGGAGGCTCCATGGGGGATTTTGGGCCCATCAATCTCACCCAAACCAGCCAACAGCCAGGAGACAGTTTATGCATTTCAACACCACAAAGGAAAGCTTGTCAATTGGATACAACATGGAAATGTATTTGTGACCTTTCCCCCAAATTCATGCCCTCCAGATGGATGGGACTCAACCTTGTAGAATTCCCAGCCAACATCTCAAGAGGCACGGGGTTAGTTGGGACAATGCTGACCTGAATGGGCAGAAGGGCCTTCTGTGGGCCTCCAATAAGAAAACATATTTTAATTTCTTAGCAGCCATTAAAGTAGGGAAGGGATGTATATTGCTTCACTATGGCAAGCTACCAAAATGTGAAACATAAAGCAAACTGTGTTTGTCGAGTATATGATCCTTCCAAATGAGAGCTGTACCTGCTGAATCACCTTTCCCCCATCCCAGTAATGACCCTTGTGTCATCTTAGATGGGAGGGTAACCCCCAAAACAAAATGGAAAGAAAGGAATTGCGAGGTCTCCTACCCGGCAAACAAAACACTCAGGATGCCAGAGGGTGTTCAAGGCAGAGATATAGTTTTCCAAGATGGCACGGGCACAACCACCACACTTGGGAGCAAACATATCGAAGTAATCTTTGCGGCAGTAGGCTTTGCCATCCTTCTCGTGGAAGCCTAGAAGCAAAATGGAATAGGAACCTGGTTAACCAATCTTTTATCTGAAGAGCAGAATAAATGGCTTTTTCAAGAAAACAATACCTGGGTGTGGCCTGGATTCTAAATAGAAATAATGATTTCAAAATTAAGAGAAGTGGCTGCTGGGATAATATGTGGGGGAGATCTAAGTGGGTGAAGTTGCCTGTTTTCTCTATGGGATGGATGGATGGATGGATGGATGGATGGATGGATGGATGGATGGATGGATGGATGG